TACAATTAATAGTAAGTAAAGTGATTTCTGTGTCAATCTACGAAGTACTATACCCTGAAGAGGGTATATCTGTCCAGGCTGTATGGGGGATTTGGTACTTGTGACTGCTTGCTATCTGAAGTAGAGGTAGTCATAGGATGGAAGCCTTAACCTGTGGTATCTCCTCTAAATCTTGCAGGAATTAATATTAGAACTGAACTGACATCCAACCACTAAATTACTCTTTGGTTGTCAATGTGGAAAACACCTCAGAACTGGTGTCAGGAGTAGGGACTTAGCTTAGCTGTGGCTCCCAAAAACATGTGGCTTGGGAAGAGAAAGAAGGAAAGGAAGAGAATGCAGGAACTTTGACTCTGGAGTAGCCACGCTGTCACTCATGGTGTGGAGCAGCAGCTGTGTGTGATCATCTGTTGAAGGTGAAAGCTCCCAATGGAAATGTACCCAACTCCAAGGAGCTGATTCACTGGCTTTCCAAGGAAATGCAAACCAATAAGACAGAAAGTAAAACACATAACCCTTTGATTGCTGTTATTGTAACAGTTAAAATTTAAGCAAAAGAGCCGGGCATGGTGGTGCATGCTTTAGTCCCAGCACTCAGGAGGCAGAGGCAGGATCTCTGTGAGTTCAAGGCCAGCCTGGTCTACATAGTGAGTTCCAGGTCAGTTGGGGCTACAGGGAGACCCTGTCTCAAAAAGACCAAAAAAAAAAAAAAGTAAGCAAAAGAAAGTGCTAGGCTAGACCTAGATGTTGGACCAAGCTCAGATTGCAGCTGGCTTGAGCTTTGGATGTTAGATTCAAAGCTGTCCTTAAATGGGAAAAATTATGTGGGAACAACAGATTATCCATAAGATCTCTGGATATAGGCTGGGGAGATGGCTCAGAGGCTCAAGCATCTGCCACACAAACAGAACAGGAGTTCAGGTCCCCACTACCCACATAAATGTCAGGCAAGCATGGTGGCCCGCATGAAATCCCAGCACTCAGGAGGCAGAAGCAGAGGATCCCCTAGCAAACTAGCTAGCTAAACTAGTGAATTGCAGAGCAATTCTTCAGTGGAAGAACCTGCCTCAATGTATAAGGCGGAGAGAGATCAATGAAGACACATGACATCAACTTCTGGTCTCCATATTCATGTGCTTCTGCACATACAGCACTCCCCCCACACATGAAACATGCATGTACACAAATGTACAAAAACCTCACTTTGGATATCAAGAAGGTGGTCCATGTATGGGAGGACAAAACCAAGAAATGAAACCAAAGGGTAGAATCTGAAAGAGATAACCTCATTTTGTAAGTCAGTATAATCAACTTCTTGAAAAATCCTTACTAAGGGACTGGAGAGATGGCTCAGTGGTTAAGAGCACTGGCTGCTCTTGCAGAGGACCCAGGTTCAGTTCTCAGCATTCACCTGTGGGTAACAATCATCCTTAACTCCAGTTCCACGGGATCTAACCCCCTCTTCTGACTTCAATGGGCATTATACAACACAGGTATACTTACATACATGCAGGCAATACACTCATATACATAAAATAATAAAATATTTTTTTAAAAAGAAAGTGACTAAGTAGACCAAAATTTCACTTTAAATATTCTCAGGTACAAATATGTTAAGGTGGGAATAAGAAAGCAAAATGAAGAAATCTAAAAAATAATTTGATAAATTTAGCAAAAAACATTTATTCATGCTACTAATTTTTTTGGGAGGGTTTCTTTTTGAGACAGGGTCTGGAGAGATGGCTCAGTGGTTAAGAGCACTGGTTGTTCTTGCAGAGGACCAGGGTTTGATTCCCAGCACCCACATGGTGGTTAACAACCATCCATAACTCCAGTTCCAGGGGATCCGACCCTCTTGTCTGACCTCTGTAGGCACTGCACTACACAGGTGCACTTACATGCATGCAGGCAATATACTTATACACATAAAATAAAAATAAAATATTAAAAAAAGAATCCTGCTGAGTGTGGTGGCCCACGTCTTTAATCCCAGCACTTGGGAGGCAGAGACATGGGGATCTCAGTGAGTTCAAGGCCAGCCTGGTCTACATAGTGAGTTCCAGGACAGCTGGGGCTACAGGGAGACCCCTGTCTCTCAAAAAGACCAAAA